GAAGTTCTCATGTTGTGTTTTTCAGCTCCATTAATTCACTTATATTCCTCTCTAAATTGTGTATTATTGTTAACATTTCATCAAACCTTTTTTTCAAAGTTCTTAGTTTCTTTGCATTGGGTTAGAACAAGTTCTTTTAATTCACAGAAGTTTCTTATCATCCACCTTTTGAAGCCTACTTCTGTTAATGGAATACACTCGTTCTCGATCAGGCCTTGTTCCGTTGCTGATGAGGAACTGTGATCCCCTGTAGGGGGAGAGGTGTTCTGATTTTGGGTATTCTCAGCCTTTTTAGGCTGGTTTCTTCCCTTCATTATAAATTTATCCATCTGTTGTCTTTGTAATTACCAACTTTTTAATTGGGTTTCTGAGTGGACGTCCAACTTGTTGATTCCCAGTGCCGGAATCTGAGCAACCCACAGCGCCGGCTAAAACAGCGGTGTTAAGATTGATGGTGCTTTTCTGACTCTGCACCAAGAACCGCCACGCCGGCCCCAAGAGTCGTGCTGGCGACCTGTGGGGCTCCTACGCTGGGAATCTCCTGGTCCCTGAACAACAAAAATTTGTCTGAAAGTGTGGCGTCCTCTCATTCTCTGCACTATTCACTGGGAGCAACAATCCCAAGCTGCTAGTCATCAGCCATCTTGGATCTCTCTCCAACTCATTTTTTTCAAGAGTTGTAACACCTGGGCTTGTTTGTTTTTTGAGACAGGGTCTCACTCATTGCCAGGGCTGGAGTGCAGTGGCATAATCAAAGCTCATGCAGCCTGAACTCCTGAAGAGATCCTCCCACCTCAGCCTCCTTAGTGTCTGGGACTACAGGCACGTACCACCGTGCTCAGCCAATTTTTTTTAGGTTTATTGTAGAGATGAGGTCTTGAAGCGTTGCCCAGGCTAGTGTCGAATTCCTGACCTCAAATGATTCTCCCACCTCGGCCTCCCAGAGTGCTGAGAATTACAGGTTTGAGTCACCCAGCCAAAAATTATTTTTGAAGTATAGCATGAGTCCATCCACTATACCACTGCCACCCTGTTCTTTTTTTTTTTTTTTTTTTTTTAAATTCACCATCTGCACACGGATGCTGTCCTAATCTTAACCACCATTGTCACTCTCCTAAATTTCCACAGTATTCTGCCTACTGGTCTGTTTGCTTTTGCTGTTATCCCCTTCAGTCTATGACATAGAAATTAGATGATGCCCGCTTAGGCTTAAATCCCAAGTCCTTTATATGCCCTTGCCTGACGTGGTCTTTGTCTTCTCTGCCTCTTCTCCCTCATCTCCTTCCACACTGT